GCACTCTACTGAGGGCGACATAGTGAAACTGTGTCTCAAAAAAAACAAAAAAACAAAAAACAAAACCAAAACACAAAAGTTTGTGTATAAGGTTTTAGGTTAGTTTCAGTGAGCGATGCAAAACAATAACAAATATTGACCTTCACTTATTTTTTTGGAGGCAGAGTCTCACTGGGTCACCCTGAGTATAGTGCCATGGTGTCATCATAGCTCACAGCAACCTCAAACTCTTGGGCTCAAGAATTTCCCGAGTTCTAGCTGGGACTACAGGTGCCTGCCATAACACCTGGCTAGTTTTTCTATTTTTAGTATAGATGGGGGTCTCACTCTTGCTCTGGCTGGTCTCCAACTCCTAAGCTCAGACTCAAGCAATCCACCTGCCTTGTGCCTCTGAGAGTACTAGGATTTACAGGCCTGGAGCCACCAGGCCCAGCCTTGACCTTCATTTTAAATGAAGATATAATCTGATAATATGGATTATTGAATTTTGACAACGTCAAGCCAGTTAAAGTATTTTATTACCATTCATAAAATTCCTTTTTACAAAGCTCTGTCAGTTGGCAATAATTGTCATTTTTATAAGTATCTTTTGATAATACCTTAACAATAAAGCAAAAAATACAATAATTTTACTCACAACCCCTATATACTAAAGCAGTTCTATTTAATTTTTCTAAGACTTTTTCATACAATACTTTATTATTTTTAGTTATAGGATGATAGATATCCTAACGGCTTTCAACATAATAGCTACAGTTATTCCTGTTTTAAGGAAGAGGCAACAGGTTCAGAAATGTCAAGACGCCCAACAGCCAATAGGGATTTAGGCAAAGGAAGGAATTTAAGCCAGATCATTTAACTTCAAGGCTCATGCAACCACAATGATCATTACTACTAAAGTAACTGAGAAGTGAACCATCTTGAGGAGAATAGACCTGATGGGAAAGCTTGTTCAAATTCTTAGATGGAACCTGATACCAAAAGTCATTCCATTCTGAAGGCTGTTTAAACAAAAAATAATTTAAAAAAAGTCATTCCACTGCCTTTGCTATGGTTGTTTGACCTTTTCTTTCCTCTTCTCTTTAATTTCATTTATCTTTTCCTCTTTCTTTCCTCACCTGCTTTTCTTTTCCTGAGCAAACTTAATACTGTTTTCCTCAGACTTAATCAAGACAGGCAGCACACCTTGTTTCTCATTTCTAAATCTTAACACATTACAAAATCATTTAGCGCCAAACAAGACAAAAATGTTTTGGGGAATACACTGGAGAGCTTACATGAATCACAATCACGCAAATCAATTTTACTTTTTTTTTTCTTTTTTGCATCTCTGAGAACCCTAGCTTTTGAATAAACGCCACACTCCCCTCCTTTGGCACACATTTTGTCGCCCTGAGCAACCCGAGGCGCCCCTCCCACGACCCAGGACACCGCAACCTACATAGCAACTCGACTTTTCCGGAAGAGGAATAAAGGTCAGAAAGCGCCTTTGCTGGGTATTACCTAGAACCAAGTCCTGCCCACCCGGTGCAGACGTCGAGAAACCTCCGTAGGGGAGGCCTTGTCAAAATTCAGAGAAGGCGTCCTCTGTCTGTTTTCCCCATGAGACACTTCGTTTTTGTTTATCTCAGAGCCCGAGATTATTTTTTTTTAAGACTGTAGGCAGGGAGGAAAAAAACAAAACAAAAAAACCAAGAAAGAAAAAACCCCCCAAAACCCCAAACCAAAACAAAACAACCCCCAATTGGTTGTTATGACAACCAACCACTAAGTAAATTCGGCCAACCAGCGTGCGGGAATGCCTCCGGTCTTAGCCAATGAGAAGAGCGCGCTGTGCGCGGGGCCGCCCAATGGGACGCGAGCTGCGCGGTATTTGAATCCTGGAACAGGGCGCTATCGCCGAAGAGTCCCAGTGGTGCGGTCCCGGAGTGCGGCCTTAACGGCGCTGCGGACGCTAGTGCCCTCCCTCTGAGGTCCGCGTCCCTCCCTGGGCCGGTCTGGCACTCTTGGCTTCCCAGTTCCTCATGGCGCTGCTCCGTCGCCCGACGGTGAGTGTGCCCAGCGGTCCCCTCACATGGTGGGGCACAACCTTCCTCTCGCGTCTCTTCTCTGCTTTTACTTTCTTTGTCCCGCCCCGGCCTGCTTTTCCTTTCCGCCGGGCCTCCTTTCTGCCAGTGCGTCCCGGGCCCTGCGGGACGCAGGTTCCGTCCCCCACCTTATTCCCTTGCTCCCAGTTTCCCCTCCCTGCTGGGGTAGGAAAGTGCTTCGGTGGTGGCTTCTGTCAAGTGACCTCCCCGAGCCATCGGGCCTACTCAGCGAATTAGCCCCGAGTGCTCTTTGTTTTTAGTTATCTAAATGCGGATTCTTGGGATTTCCTTCTCCTTTTTTCATAAATGCTTGTCAACTAAAGGATCGATGGTGGGGGTGGGGAGGAGAAGGACTGGAAGAAATTACATAGTAAAGTGTCCTGCGTGTTTGATCAAGCAACGGCTATGGCTGTTTTTCAGACTTTTCACATTTGGCTTTGTATGAGTGTCATATTTATTTTTGCACTCTGAATCTTCCATCCTAAGTTCATTCATGTGTGAGTTTGTTCCCTTAAAAAATTAATTGTTTAAGTGTAATAGAGATTTTGCATACAAAATATAGCAGACCAACATAGCAGACAGAGAAAAGGGTCCAAATTCATTATTAGGTCTTTACAAAAATCAAAGTGTTATGGTGTTTTGGGTATTTTTCCTGCAGGCTCGAATTGTACTTGAATCTCCTTTCTCTTTGTTGAAATCTAGAGGGCCCTGACACACCTGAGTTCCATTGTCCAGGCTGGTTAAAAGATAGATAAAAGCTGCTGGTTTTCCCTTCTAGATGAATTTAAATTTAGTCACATTAGCAGGCTTCATCCTGTAAGAATTAAATTTTCAAATACTGTTTTAAATTGCAAATGGTACTGGAAAAATTGAACAGTGTGACTTTTGAGATTCCTAATAGATTGAATACATTCAGTATTTTAATTCATATCCTTTTATGGGTCTAAGTCTGACAAGTAATTTTTGTCTAAGGGTGACTTTTCCCTGTCCTCTCTGTTTATCCTGTTAGAGCTACTCAAACCCCCCTGTTGGGAGTTTTCTTATAATTAGGACATGCTGTTTTTTCTCTTCAAAAACTTATCAATTCTATAACTAAATAGAATTTTTTGTATGAACTGCTTTTTCTTTTTTTTTTTTTTTCTTTTGAGATGGAGCCTCAAGCTATCCCCCTGGGTAGAGTGCCATGGCATCACGCTCACAGCAACCTCCAACTCCTGGGCTCAAGTGAGTCTCCTGCCTCAGCCTCCCAAGTAGCTGGGACCACAGGCGCCCGCCACAACGCCTGGCCATTTTTTGGTTGCAGCCATCATTGTTGTTTGGCGGGCCTGGGCTGGGGATTCGATCCCGCCACCTTAGGTGTATGTGGCTGGCGCCTTAGCCGCTTGAGCCACAGGCGCCGAGCCTGAACTGCTTTTTCTTGTAAGTTTTGTTTCTAAATCTACTGTGTAAAGCAGGTTAAAGGTCAACTGATGGATTTTATTTCATACAATTCCAACATTCCCAGGATTTTGTATCTAAAACTAACTTACCCAAGAAAACGACTTTTTAAAAAATTTTATTTTATTTTATTTTATTTTACACATACATGTGATTATTAGGTTTCCACTTTTTTGCCTTCACAGAATTAAAAAGGCTTAAAATTTAACAACAATAACAATGTTTAAGATTAGGAATAGAGGCTCAGCGACTGTGGCTCAAGCCGCTAAGGCACCGGCCACATATACCTGCGCTGGTGGGTTCGAATCCAGCCTGGGCCTGCCAAACAACAATGATGGCTGCAACCAAAAAATAGCCAGGCATTGTGGTGGGCGCCTGTCGTCCCAGCTACTTGGGAGGCTGAGGCAGGAGACTCGCTTGAGCCCAGGAGTTGGAGGTTGCTGTGAGCTGTGATGCCATGGCACTCTATCCAGGGGGACAGCTTGAGGCTCTGTCTCAAAAGAAAAAAAAAAGATTAGAACTAGAAAAAAAAAAAACTTGCAAAAAATGGATGAAGATAAATACATTCAGAAAAGAAATCAGACGATAGCTGCAAAGAAATATTAAGCAATAATAACAATAGTAATGCAAAGAAAATATATATGTATATATATTTTTTTGAGACAGAGTCGCTCTTCACCCTTAGTAGAGTGCTGTTGTGTCACAGCTCACAGCAACTTCAAACTCTTGGATTCGCTTCCCTCAGCCTCCCAAGTAGCTGGGACTACAGATGCTTGCTACAATGCTCGACTATTTTTTTTAAGAGACAAGGTCTTGCTTTGGCTCAGGCTGGTCTCAAACCTGTGAGCTCAGGCAGTCTCCTGCCTTGGCCTCCTAGAGTGCTAGGATTTCAGGTGTGAGCTACTGCACCTGGTTAAAAAAACCTACTTTAGTTCTAAGTATCCTTAATATGATAGAGGGTCCATGCAATGGCAACATCATTTTTAAAAGATCATGTCTGCCAAGTGCTGTTGTTTGTACCTGTCATCCTACCACTCTGGGAGGCCCAGGTGGGAGGATTGCTTGAGGCCAGGAGTTGGAGGTTGTATGACCTTTGATAATGCCATTGCACTCTAGCTCAGGCACAGGCTCTCACACAGAGCATGACTGTCTCAAAAATTAATAAATAAAAATAATAAAAGATAAAGTCTATAGAATCCAAGCTAGTTTAGGTTTTAAACATCGCATTTTTTAACAGCCAGAACTATTAGTAACTATTAATAATATGGCTTAATTGCACTTGTTACCAATCTCTGTAAAACAAGTTTTTAACTATATGCCTTTTATTTACAGGGATCTCTAATAAGTGATATGGGTGCTGTATGAGAAATATTTATTTGAGAAGCTTTGAAGTTCTCTTACAGACCCACTTGAATATTCAAAATAGTTTTGTAAGGTTAGTGGCAGGATCTTTATTATAGGTAAGGTGGATGAGTGATTGACCTTTTTCAGAATGATGTTATCAATCTCAAATAGCATTTTTAGACTTCATAAAATGTACCTCTTCTCTCTTGCAAATAGATCTTGGCATATTCACTTTTCCCAAACTAATATTAATTCTAAATTAGAGTATCTGACCTTAGCAAAGTATATTAAATTGTCTAACTACTTTCCTTTTTTTTTTTTGTTTTTTAGGTGTCCAGTGATTTGGAGAATATTGACACACAAATTAATTCTAAAGCTAAGAGTCATGTGACTATTAGGCGTGCAGTTTTAGAAGAAATTGGAAATAAAGTTACCACCAGAGCAGCACAAGTAGCTAAGGTAACAACCCTGAGGACTGAATGTGCCCAAATATGAATGTAGAGGCCAGAGGCGGGCTCTTTATGGCACTGAGTAAGAACATTGGCTGTCCTGACCCATTTCTATTTCTTTTTCTTGTAGAAAGCTCAGAACACCAAAGTACCAGTTCAACCCACCAAAACAACAAATGGCAACAAACAGCTGAAACCTACTGCCTCTGTGAAACCAGTGCAGATGGAAATGTTAACTCCAAAGGTAGGAAGTTCTGAATTTACAGACACTCTTCAAGAGGTGGCCTGTTATTAGCCAGCCTTTGTCATCTGCAGCTGTCAAGGAGTTGAAGAACTCTTCAAACTGTTCTACTTAGAACTAACAGTGCAGGAAATGGTACTTAATATTATGGCCTTGAATAATAAAGTTTATTACCTTAATACCCAAATAAATCTAGCATTCTCAGAATGAAATTTGGTGGGTTAAAAAAAAAAATCCACCCTGGGCGCCGCCTGTGGCTCAGTGAGTAGGGCGCTGGCCCCACATACTGAGGGTGGTGGGTTTAAACCCGGCCCTGGCCAAACTGCAACAAAAAAATAGCCAGGCCTTGTGGCAGGTGCCTGTAGTCCCAGCTACTTGGGAGGCTGAGGCAAGAGAATTGCCTAAGCCCAAGAGCTGGAGATTGTTGTGAGCTATGACGTGTTGTATGTGACAAAGTGAGACTCTTTCTCTAAAAAAGAAATTAAAAAAAAAAAAATCCACCGTAAGAATGAACTTGCACCTAAAGGCTTTGGAAGCCCACAGTTTTGAGCCCCAAATTCATGTAAGAAAAGGGAAATGTTGATAAATTGTAGTCGCCATGACTGGTTAGCTCTACTGGAGTTAGAATGCTAATGGATGCCTTGTCCTGTTTACCTTCTACCATGTTCAAGTTCATACATGCTCTCATTCATAAATTACTTGTGCAAATACTGGGGGACAGGCACTGTTTTGTAGGTACTGAAACTATGACAATAACTGTATGCTTCATTCTTTTTAGCTCAAAAAATAAATATTGTATGTTTGAAAAGAAAAAAATTGCATATATTCAAGAAATATGTGTATTGAGCACTTACTATACATATCTGTGTTAAGGTTGCTAGGGAAATCTGTTATGTTTAGGAGACTTATCTAGAAGGGGCATATGTACCTGAAAATTAAATTAGAATCTTCAGGGAATGACACTATATGCAATGAGCCCCACATACCAAGGGTGGCGGGTTCGAACTGGCCAAACTGCAACAACAAATAGCCGGGCATTGTGGTGGGTCCCAGCTACTCAGGAGCTGAGGCAAAAGAATCACCTAAGCCCAGGAGCTGGAGGTTGCTGTGAGCTGTGACACCACAGCACTCGACCAAGGACGATAAAGCGAAACTCTGTCTCTAAAAAAAGAAGCAGAAGATAAGTTTGGGAAGAAGGCTGTGGTCATATTTGAAGGCCGTGGAATTTGGATTTTATCCTATCAATGAAGAAACTGAAAAAGTTTTGAGGAGAGAAATGATGAAAGCAGTGTAGGGTGATTACAGAAGGAAGGTACATTAGGAGGGATTGCAGTTGTTCAAGAAAGAGCTGATGAGTTTTTAGCTAGCCCAGATCTCCTGTAAGTGCCTACTCACACACCAGTATAGATACAAGGTACAAAGAAAGAAGCATCATCAAATGTGTTAGAATGTCCTGGAGCTCCTTTCAGGAACATCCTATATTTAGAAAGAATACTTTATATACATTGCATGTAGTGGGACCCTTAAGTATTTGGATATCAAACCATTATGGAATAAATTAGCAAGAACTAGAAAAGTCAGGAGAGGGAGGTAGCTTTGGAGAAAGTGTCCTGTGTGGCTTTAGATTTGTTGAGTTAACAGTGGGACATCCATCTGGAGGTTCAGGTGGAAATCTTCCAGCAACATCTGAAGCAGAGTAACAGACTTGTGAGCTTCCTCCATAGAGATGGTAGTTGAAAGCACGTGCTATTTATGAGACTGGACAAATAGGTTTCAAATTGAGAACTGAAGCTCAGAACAAAATACTCAAGATCAACCTTCCTTTAAGAGGCCTTCCCTTGAAAGTTTCTAGTAACCTAAATGCCAAACCCAAAGTCCAGGTTTCAGACCTTGCTCTCTTGGCCATTCTGCAGCATTTTGGGTGAATGTTTGAATGTGGTTCCTCTCAGGCTGCAGAAAGGCAATTTGGCAGTATATTTCAAAAGATTATTCTCCATACCTAGTAAGCCTTGTTTTTTTTTTTTTTAATTTCAGATCAATATAAGGGTACATACAATTAGGTTACATTGTTTGCATTTGTTAGGTAATGTGGTTGAGTCCTTCACTCAGGAGGTGTGCTATGTACCCTTACATTGTACCAGTTAGGTGGGAGCTTATCAACTTCCTTTTCCCCTACTTGAATTTAATTGTATTTTTCTCTCATATGGCCCTGTAGTTGTTCATCTATGAGTTTCAAATTAGTACTGAGTATGTGGGGTGCTTGCTTTTCCATTCTTGAGATACTTCACTAAGGAGGATATTCTTTAATTCCATCCAGGTAAATACAAAAAATGCAAAACCTCCATCCTTTTTAATGGCTGAGTAGTATTCCATGGTATACATATACCACAGTTTATTAATGCATTCTTGTGTTCATGGGCACTTGGATTGTTTCTACATCTTTGCAATTATGAATTGAGCTGCAGTAAACATTCAAGTGCAAATGTCATCATGATAAAATGATTTGTTTTCTTCTGGGTAGATGCCTAGTAATGGTATTGCAGAATCAAATAGAAGATCTACTTTTAGTCCTTTTTTTTTTTTTTTTGGAGACAGAGCCTTAAGCTCTGTAGAGTGCGGTGGCATCACAGCTCACAGCAACCTCCAACTCCTGGGCTCAAGCGAGTCTCCTGCCTCCGCCTCCCAAGTAGCTGGGACCACAGACACCTGCCACAACACCTGGCTATTTTTTGGTTGCAGCCGTCATTGTTGTTTGGTAGGCCCGGGCTGGATTCGAACCTGCCACCTCAAGTGTATGTGGCTGGCGCCTTGGCCGCATGAGCCACAGGCGCTGAGCCTACTTTTAGTTCTTGGAGGGTTCTTCAGCCTTCTTTCCAAAGAGGCTGTACTAGTTTGCAATCCCACTCCTCTCCATACCAATGCCAGCATGTGCAGCTTTGGGACTTTGTGATGTGGGCTCTTCTCACTGAGGTTAGGTGATATTTCACAGTGGTTTTGATTTGCATTTCTCTGATACTTAAGAGATGATGAGTATTTTTTTATGTGATTCTTATTTTTGGCCATTTTTCTGTCTTCTTGGGAGAAAGTTCTGTTCATGTCTTTGCTCAGTGATTAATTGGATCGTTTGCTCTTTTCTTGTTGATTTACTTGGGTTCATTCGTTCTTTTTTTTTAAACACTCATTTGTTATTTATTTATTTATTTATTTTTGCAGTTTTGGCTGGGGATGGGTTTGAACCCGCCACCTCCGGCATATGGGACCAGTGCCTTACTCCTTTGAGCCACAGGAGCTGCCCTTTACTTGGTTCATTACAGATTCTGGTGATTAGCCCTTTGTCAGATTTTTCTTTCTTTCTTTTTTTTTTTTTTTGAGACAGAGTCTCAAGCTGTTGCCCTGGGTAGAGTGCTGTAGCATCATAGCTCACAGCAACCTGAAGCTCTTGGGCTGAAGCGATTCTCTTGCCTCAGCCTCCTAAGTAGCTGGGACTACAGGGGCCTGCCTGGCTATTTTTTTTGTTGCAGTTGTCATTGTTGTTTTAGATGGCCCTGAGCCGGGTTCAAACCTGCTAGCCTTGGTGTATGTGGCTTGCGCCCTACCCACTGAGCTACTGGTGTCTCCTCCTTTGTCAGATTTGTAACATGTGAGTATCTCCTCCCATTCCGAAGGTTGTCTATGTGTTTTGTTAATTGTGTCCTTAGCTGTGCAGAAGCTTTTAAGCTTGATCAGGTCCCATTTATTTTCATTGTTACTACAACTGCCAATGGGGTCTTCATAAAATCTTTCCCCAGGCCCATATCATTGGGTTTTCTTCACACTTTCTTCCAGAGTTTTTATAGTTTCATGTCTTAAATTTAAATCTTTGTTATCCAGCATGAATTAGTTTTTGTAAGTGGCGAGAGGTGCAGGTCCAGTTTTTGCCTTTTACATGTAGCTAACCACTTCTCCCAGCACCATTTATTGAATAGGGGTTCTTTTTCCCAGTATACACTTGTGTTTGGTTAATCAAAGATCAGATAGTGGTATGAGGCTGGTTTTCATCTCTAGGTTTTCTATTCTGTTCTATAGATCTATGTCTCTATTTTTATGTCAGTAGCATGCTATTTTGATCACTATAGATTTGTCGTATAACCTGAAGTCTGTAATGTGATATTTCTTAGAAATGATCATTTCAAAGAAAATGATCACAGGGAAGTAGTGGTATAATTGGTATCTCTTATATAGGAGAGAAATATTTAAGGAGATCAGTTAAATCCATTTAATGAAATATGTAACCAAAAATATAGTAGAAAATTTAAAGGTGTCAAAATATAAAAATGTTAACAATGTTAACAAATGGAAGAATTTAACCATGCTGATGGCTGGGTAGAATGAACATCGTTAAAACGTCTGTACTACCCAAAGTTATCTACAGATTTACTGCAATCCCTATTAAAACGCCATGTTGGCTCGCACTCATAGCTCAGTGATTAGGGCACCAGCCACTTACACTGAGGCTGGCGGGTTTGAACCTGGCCCAGACCTGCTGAACAACAATGACAACTGCAACAAAAAAGTAGCCAGGCATTGTGGTAGGTGCCTGTAGTCCCAGCTACTTGGGAAGCTGAGGCAAGAGAATCGCTTAAGCCCAAGTGTTTGAGTTTGCTGTGAGCTGTGATATCACAGCACTGTACTGAGGGCAACATAGTGAGACTCTGTCTCAAAAACAAACAACCCCTCCAAAACCCCCACCAATGTCATACTTTGAAGAACTTGAAAAAATAGTTCTTCATGTCATATGGAAACAGAAAAAAACATTAAGTGGCAAAATCGGATTATAACACAATATTTATAGCACAATCTTAGATTTGCTTTTAATGATGGCATTTAAATTCTTTTAATTTTGGCTCTACACCTATAGAGTGGTTATGGCACCAGCCATGTGCACCAATGATAGTGGGTTCAATCCTGGCCTGGGCCAGCTAAACAATGACAACTACAACAACAACAAAAATAGCCGGGCATTG